TTTGGTTTTTTTTTTTTTTTTTTTTTTTGTGATTATGTGATCCTAGCAGGTTTGTTTTTCTTTTTCTTTTTCAAATTTTTTTTATATTGGGTTGGGATTCGATTTTTTTAGTTTTAAGAAATCGCACACATTCAATTTTTATTCAAATTGTTGTTATACTAACGTGCTTCAATTAGTAATGTTTATCTCCTGGCTTTTGTAAGAGTCCTTGTTTTTCTGTCGGAAACAAAATAACAATATACTCTATATTTATGCGATGCAAGAAAGATTTGCGATGTATAAATGCTATGCCTCCTTTTGAGTTTTGAGTACCTCGACGCGTCGACAGTTTTTTTTAGGAAGCAATTCAAGCCAGGAGTGGACATTTTTATCCGACACCCGAAATCCGGATTTCGGGTACGCTCTTCGTGTTCAGCGTGAAGCTTTTTTTTATAGAGAGACAGATTCACAAACTGGCAAATGCCGAAGATATGTTACCAACTATTGTTATATCGTAATTGTTCATTACAATAATTAAAAAAAATTAATTACCCAAAAAAATGTTCCATAAAATTTCAAAGAAGAAAGTAAATATAACACAAACCAAACAAAACCTCTTTCTTTCGATCATATCACGACATCACACACAACACAACACAAAAAACACCTCCAAACCAAACCAATGAACAGAAGAACAAACCACATCTTTTAGAACCAGCCAGAGCCAGAGAAGAGAGTTCGAAAAATCTGGTGGAAGATCGCAAAATAATAATGGCCCGAACGATATACGACATCGTTATAAGTAAAAATCAACATACCCCCGAGTGTTGGAGAGATTCTGTTTACGCGCCCGAGTGAGAGACGGGGGTCGTCTCGAACCTACCTTCCTTGAACACATGATTGTATTGTTGCGGCAATGCGTGTTCCACCTACACAAAGTTGCAAGGAAAAATGCCAGTGAGGACACTTCAACGAACATTCCCTATAGGTACTGTCTGAATCTTCCTTCCCAATCAGTTCAACCAACAACATATGCTCGTACTATGCTCAATGTATCAACATCTGACATGAATCGATGACAGAAACTGGAGCGAAGCACGCAATATTTCAGTTCACAACCATAAATCATTGATCTCGTCTGCCATTAATGTTAAAGCAAACTAACAGTAAGGCGATGTTCAGGAAATTCAGTAGCATAAACAGTAACAGAAGGCGGAAACTAAAAGGTTGATAAATTATACATACCCAATCTCCGTCAGGGACAGCTCCGGGCACCATTACATTGATCTCACTAGATTTGGCTGTTGTTATAGCAGCCCCTAACGCATCTTTGCCTAAGTATAACTGACAACCGGTTGTGTTGTCCACTGAAATTGTGGGAGCCGAACCCTGAATTCACCAGAAGTTTAAAGGTAGAGGAAATTTGAAGCAAGCGTCAGTACCCTCACACCATTAATGTTCCAGGCAAGCTGATGCCCATACAACTAGAGAGAGAGAGAAAGGGAAATACACATACGCAAGCCTTGAGAATAAGAGAGCACAAACCTGACATTGAACTTCAACGTTGTTGCAATTCACAATCTCAAATGCAGCAACAACATCCTATACAACAACATTAGACTCTGACATGAGCATTCTCGAAGTACAGGAGGAAACTTTATCCTCAAAAGCCTTTCCTACACTCACCGTAAAAACAATCCCCATCTTGGTGCATTTGTCAATAGTAATATTGTTCACTTTTCCTACATACCATTGAAACAACAAACAGGGTCTCAGAGATTTATGTACAAAATCTGTAAATACTTCGAGTAGATATACAACTTTTGGTATATTATTCAAAGTTTGTCCCACATACTAAGCGTGGGCAGAGTTACCTTGTATCTGCAAGACAGAATCTTTGCACCCAAATACATAGACCGATTGTCTGGCATCACACTCATCGATAACCAGGTCCTTCTTACCTATTTGGTTCTCAACAGCCCACCTACACGAAAACCATATGATAGCAGATTACAACGTTTGTCTGGCAGGTAGCAGCATAGAGTTCAATGTTGGTCAAGAATACCCACTTGCGACCCATTTGAAGTTCCAATTTTGGAGGCCCAGTTTTCGAAAAGGCTGGTGAGCGGGTGCGACTTTCCTTCTCAGCAACACCAACAACACCAGATCTGTCAGCACGGTTCTTCGTCTTCATATCATCAGTCACTTTTCGAAGACCTGGGAATCAAGAAAGACAACAAGGCTAGTTGAATATAACCTTCCAACTTGACACCAGTAATCTAAGGCATACAGTAACACAACCCACCTGACGTGACACCCCCTGAACTAATCTGCTGGAATACAGCACTCATCCCTTGCTTCTCATTCGACGATGATGAAGGCTTAGAAGATTCCGAACTGAATAGAGATGCTGACGGTGCAGGTGGAGGAGCAGGAGGGCCAGGTGGAGGAGCCTTTGCAGGGGCAGCAGCAGGCTTTCCAGTAGCACTCCATACAGGGCCCAAGGGGTAATGACTCTTAACATAATCCCTTAAACCAGGTAAGTAAAGTTCTTTTAAAGCTTTAGCCCATTCAACGTGATTTGCGTCTTTGGTACGGTACTCCACAAGAACCTGAGAAAGAACATAGAAATCGGGTTCAACAATGCATCCATCTGAACGTAGACAAGTTACACAAACAACAGAATGTGCAGAGCCAGCAACGAAACAGTAAATTGAAGCAGTGGCGATCATCAGAATGAGTAACCGGGATCGGTAACTAGAACCCTCATTTTCTTTCATTCCCTAATAGAACCTACTTATAATTTATCGATCTGCTTATATCCATCTAACAAGAAAAGAAAGCACCGTGAATATCACGAAGCACCTTGTTGTTGTAAAACTCAGCCATCTGCCAACTTTCTTCCACATGGGCGATAGGCATGCTCATACCTGCAGAAGAAGAAAAACAAGAAAAAAAAAAGGGACAAAAACAGCTGAATCCCACGAATTTATGTATAATAATCTGAAATGAACATTACTTGTAAATCGAATTCCAACATAATGGATCAGTTTACCACAGTCTTTTCCAGTGAAAGCAATCCATGCCAATGCCGTGAGACTATCACAAGCAGCCTTCAAGTGGTTGAAGGAATCTGAACGCTTCCCTTCTGTCATGGCGTTAGCTTTCATTATCACCTCATTCAATGGCTTAAGAAACTCTGCCAAACCGGCGAGATCAGGCTTCTGTTCAATCGGAAGAAGAGAATCCACGGTGAAATCAAATCACCATCCAATCCACAACACAATAACGAGTCAACAACACTATTAAACCCATCTTCCAGGATACAAATCCATTCCGATACAAACAGAACAAACCCGAACACACCTGAGTTTGCTTGATTCGGACAAGAAGCTCCTTCTGAGCAGAAAAGGCCTCGGCGACGATCTTACTCCCATCAAGCACCTGTCCTCCGATCTTCTCAGCCGCGCTCAAAATCCTAACGACGCGCTCTGAGATAAGATCCTCGAATGCCAGAATCGACGGATCCGAAGACGCGACATCAGCGACGGCATCTCCACCTCCGGAGAGAGAAACTCCACCTCCTCCTCCCGCATTCCTCGACACCACCTCGAGCCTCGTCACCGCGGCTTCAAGCCGCTTGATCAGATCCTCCGCCATTTCCGATTTCGAGTAACAGAATCTAAATCCCCCACCAGATCTGGATTGAGATCGTTTCGAATGGCAGGTTCTTGTGTTTTCCTCTCTTTTTCTTCTTCTTTTTTGTTTATGAGAGAAGAGAGAGAGACTGAGGCGACAGGTGTGGTCGGATTTGCGCGGGGGTGTGGGAGAGTAAACACGTGGCATCAGTACGGATGAAATCTGTCTGCGTTTGGACAACAAATCCATCGCCTGGTCTCAAATGTGGGCCTATAAGGTTTGACACCAGCCCAACTTCATTCAAAGCTCATACGTTTTGGGCCCAGGCCCAATAGCCCAAATTTAAATTGTTTAATTGGTCATATGAAATTCGAAAGAAAAAAAAAAGCTTAGCCTAACCATGTTTATTTATGCTTTCTTTACAAGTGTGAATCTTTACATGCAGTGGAGAAATAACGACAACATTTTAGCTAATCACTTTGATATACTTTATCACAATTTTTACTTGTACGATTAATATAATTGACAAATCATATCAGCAAAAACATAATTATATTTGATTGGTTTTGTTGATACTTTGGTAGGACGGGCAAAGAATTCAGTTGGGTTTATTCAGTTACATTTAATTCGGATTTAGTTATTATAAATTTTAAATTTTTATAACTAAACGGTTATTTGATTTTAATCGATTCAGTTTGGTTGTGGCTCTATTCGATTCGGTTATAAAAATAAATGAACCAAATTTCGAAGCATTGTTTACAAAAAATATCAAAGATTTTCACTCTAGGTATATATCACAATTACAAAACTACATAAAACAAGTTTTTTAAATATACCGTATATTGTGTATTATTCGCTAATATATAGTTAGTCAAACGATTAGATTCGGTTATTCAGTTACGATTCGAGTTCAGTTTCTTCGATTACGATTAATTCGAATTCGAATTTATTTTGGATATAAAAAATTTATAACTAAACAATTATTTGATTTTAATCGATTCGATTCAGCTTATAATTCGGTTGGATTCATTTGAATTTTTAAATACCCAAACTGTTGGTCTAAATAGGATATGCAGATGGTGTTCGAAATATTTAATAAAAAGTTTTTTTTATTACAACAAACAATAAAAACCAAAAAGCAAAGGGACCTCCTCCTGTTGTTATTATCAACACAAAAAGAATCGATGAACTCAAAAAAAAAAAAAAAAAAAAAAAAAAAAAACTTGTGTCTCAATGTTCTATACATCTTCAATGTAAGAAGGTTCCGGAAAAATCTCATTCGAATGTCTTCTCCTCGACGACGAATTATCGTTCGGTCCACTCCCCTGTGATCCCGATTTCTTCAATCCTCCTCCGAAGCTCGTCGTCCCTCCTTCCCCTCTACTGCTCTGAACCGCCGTTGTTGCATCCGACGAGCTCTGCCTCCAGCTCCCGAATATGGCGGGGGTCCACGACCCTCTCGACGAGTTCGCTCGCAACCGTGAAGAGCCCGAGTGATCTTCCCTCACGACCCGCAACGGGTTCTCGAGAGCTTTCTGGATGTGTCTCATCAATGGCCGCCTCGAGGGTTTAGGGTTTAGGCACGATTTCGCTATGATCGCCATTGCCCATACCTCTTCGAGCAAGTCGTCGTCCACCATCAGAGACGGGTCCAGGATCTTGTTCACGAGCTCTTTCTCGTTCATGCTGATGTAAGGTAACGTCTCCTCCAAGAATTCCCTCGTGTGGGCGTCGTTTTCCGGCGAGCTTATGCCGAGCTTTCCGGTGACTAACTCCATTAACACCTTCCCGAAGCAGTATACGTCGTTAGAGCATGTCGCAGTGGCCGCAACTGAACCAGAACCTGTACCTATATATATATATATATATATCGCAGAGGAAGAGAAGAATGAATTCAGATACCAAAGTTATGGTCTTCCGAGGAAATTCGATTCTACCCATGATTTTTTTAGGAAGCAATTCAAGCCAGGAGTGGACATTTTTATCCGACACCCGAAATCCGGATTTCGGGTACTTGTTTCATTCGGGTCGGGTACCCGGAGAAAACGAGACTATGGTGGGTTCGACCAGAACAGAAATCCAGAAGACGGGTTCGGGTTGGGTTCCGTTATTTCTTGACGGATTCTCGGATATCCGAGTATTTAGAAAATTACTAAAATATCCATAATCATATTTTATATAAAATTATCTATACACTCCTAAGTCAACATAAGTCAACACAATTTCATAACTCTTTATGAGTTCGGTCATTCGGTTTCGGTTTCGGTTTCGGTCTCGCGGATACCCAAATCTCACGAGACTTAGATTAAGATAATAATACCTCTAGAAAACCCGCGAGACCAAAACCGAGACGGAGTATCTCAAAATTCCGGGTACCCGATCCACGTCTACCCATAACATGAAAGGCCAAGAAATGTATGGTTTAAGCATAAATACCTGAAGACCCGGGATCAGAAGATCTGCAGAAACGACGAAAAAAAAAAGACGAGAAAACGTTAACGAAACATGCCGGAACGTGCGGCAGGAATCAGTGCAATGACCCGTGATAAGCACTTACTGCGGTAACCGGAGAAAACGAGAAATCCCGCTCGGCTGGGCATCGCCTTGAGCGCAGGCCTCGCTCAGGCTTCCGAGCCTCACCTCGAATTTATCGTCGAGAAGTATGCTGCTTGCTTGTACATCCCTTTTTCCAACATTCAGCATATCAATGCAAAGTTCTTAAATCGTTTATACTCAATCCATTTATATATCGGAATCAAGAAAAAGAAATCTAGGGTTCTTGGAAAGTACCTATGAACTAGAGGGGGTGAGCATTCATGATGCAAATACGAAAGCCCCTCGGCCGTGCCAAGAGCGATTTTCAACCTCGTTATCCAGTCCAAAGACTGCAACCCATCATCGTGGTCGTCGGATTTTCGGTACAAGGAACTCGTCAAATCCCGGTTCCTCATATGCTTGTAAACCAAGAACTTTTGGCTTTCATTCTCTAAGCAGTAGCCCAAAAGCGGAACCAGCCTCTGATGCCACCCGGCCGTTTTACTGAAGAACTCCAGTTCCGATATGTATCCTTCGTGTTTACTTTCCCGCAGATCGATCCTTTTTACCACGATGGGTATTCTATTTTCCAAGAATCCATGGAAAAAATCGCCCGAGTGGCCACGTTTGATCAGATTTGCTTCTTTGAAATCCTCTGTAGCCTGAACAAGCTGATCATATGTATACGCATTTCCGAGGGACGAAAGATCGAGTGCCCTCCCTCCTCCTGCACGAGGTTGTGGAGCGTCCTCGGCCGCAGGACTAGGCCCGACACCGTTTCCTCTTTGGGTCGGTCCGCCTCTTTTACGTATGCATATAGCTACAAGAATTGGCAAGACCAAGAAGATCAGAATAAGACCGACTCCTCCTGCCACCGCACACAGTATAACTACAGTTCTGCGGCTTAACCCCGACGAAGATTTCTCGGCCGGAGATTCTGTGGAATTAGGGCTTCCGAAATCATCAAAGACTAACCCCCGAGCGGTATAGAACGACGCACATTCCGATAACATCTTTTGCGCTTTCTCGACTCGGAGGCAGTTGCCGCTAAGAGATGCGTTTGTGTTAAGCACATAGTCTGGAACCCTACCTTCGAAATAGTTCTGGGAGAGGTCCATGGTTTTGAACCGTCGAAGTACAGGTGTGAGACCTCCGTAAAACGCGTTTTGAGATATGTCGAGCTCGGTATCTGCTGCAAGATTTGGATCTAAGCTCGAATTTGGTAGCATACCTGTGAAATTGTTCCTAGAAAGGTCAAGAACCCGTAACTCGGGCAACGACCAATACGTTTCGGGTATATGACCGGTGAAAGCGTTGATCCTCAAAGCTAAAATGTGCAACCGGCTATCGGCATCGAACAGATTGGCTGGTAAATTCCCACTCAGAAGGTTACCACTAAACACCATTTTCTGCAGATTCCTCATTCTTCTCAGATCCTCAGGCATTGATCCAGACAATGCATTGAAACTGAGATCAAGCTCCACTAGATTGGTAAGGTTGCCGAGCTGTGGAGGGATCGAATTCGAGAAACTATTGTTGGAGAAGTTCAAATAGACGAGCTTCGAAAGCATCCCTACTTCTGGGGGGATCGACCCCGTAAGATAATTCGAAGAAACGTCGAGATGTGATAGATTCTGCAGAGAACCGAACAATAGAGGAAGAAGGCCAGTAAGTGAATTCCTAGAAAGATCAAGCTCTGAAAGATCCGTCAACTGCCCCAAACTGATGGGAACTGAACCAGTGAGCCTATTACCAGACAGATTCAAAGCCATCAACCTTGTCAGATTACCAAGACTGGCTGGAATAAGACCTGTTACAGAACAAGAACTGAGATCCAACACCTGCAATGTCCTAAGCCTAATGCCAAACCAATCAGGGATTGGCCCTAGAAGGGAAACCCTCGATGCGTTGAAAGAGACCAACTGGGTCAGATTAAGGAGAGGATCGACGGCGAATTTCGGGTTTTGCTTCCCAGTTCTTGTCCTCTTGAATCCAGAAACGTTGATCCCGACAACACTTCCGTTATTATTACAGCGTATCCCTTTCCACACTGTACAAGGATCTCCCTTGATGGGCCAATCCTTGCTCCTTAACCCTAGAGAAGACCTGAGACTAAGTAGGGCAACTCGGTCGCTGAATTTGGTCGGCGACTCGGTCTGAGTTTGCGCAACCACACACTCCAACAGTACCAAACACAACAACGACGACAACTTGAAATCCAATACGGTTCTTAAATTCACCATTGTGTATCTAACTCGATCCATCTTCCTTCACCAACCCTCTTTACACATCGTCGAACACCTAAAGAATTACGCAGAATTTCTCCGAAATCTCTGGGAATTAAACGAATTTCTCAGGATTCAACCAATACCCAGTACGAAAAACCCCTCCTTTCTATCTCTGGAGACAAGAACGACGACCATTCAACTACTTTTTCCCACGTTTCTGGATCCAAAAACAGCAATTACTTACAGAGACATTAAAAGACACCTCCCGTCTCCTCTCTCTCTCTCTAAATCTTCAGCTTCATGAGTTGACGAGGAAAGTAGAGAGAAATCGATGAATCGTTATAATCGAACAAAAGGGACGACAATACAGCAAGAACATAGACATCGAGTGATTCAAATCTTTAGAGAGAGAAGATCGGGATGGTCAAGAAACAACTGCAGGTTGTCACTCTCCTTGTTTATGCGAAAATTTTAAAATTAAAAACCATAATACTTCATGTAATTGTAAAAAAAAAAGTGTTTCTCCTCATAATGTTAATTTAAAAAAAAAAAAAAACAGAAAGTGACAATAGCCAGCCACGAGCCGGCTTCCTTATTTTTCATTATTATTTGTCCTTATTTATCTCTCTGTCTTTTATTTTCGTATCCATAATTAATGTTTTGCATTTGTCATTGCGTTTTTATATGGAATGAGATCTTCTAATACTATATATATCAAATTTTAATTGTACACCTTATTTTTTAAGCAACTGGAATCCATTATCATTTCTCTTTTTTTTTATTCGCATATCAACAAAAATATATATGTACTTTCCTGATTCTCTTGAAAATATAATTGAACCAAAATATCGGTGAATTTTTGTATTATCAAAAAACTATTAATTTAATTTAGAAAACAAAAAACACTTTATTTTGTCGATAATACGGATTTTTTTCCCTCGAACCATGAAAGTGTGGTTACCAAAAAGATTGCACGTTTGATTGTTTTCCTCGTTATGAATTTAATGTGAAAAAATAGAATATGGCAAATTAATATCACTATAGTAAACCTTTAAAAAAATATCACTATAGTAAATAGTTATCTTATTTTGTATTTAATCTAACAGCCGCTAATGACGTGATATCAAGGAATAAAATTGTATTTGATTTTTTTATATGTAGTATCAATAAAATCCGAAGTTCGAAACCAGTCTGAATCTGTCCGAAAAAAATTAAATGTTTGGATCTAATAATATAGGTCCGATAAATAAATGGACGGGCCGATCGGGCCTGAAAAAATACATACCCGAATTGAGTTCGGCCTGAAACTCGTCTGACTCGCTCATTTAGCCTAAAAAATATTAGATAATTATATTTCTACTTTCACTCGAGATCTCAAATCACACAACATTAAATTAAGGGTTTAGACCTAATAATATAGCTCTGAACAATAAATAGACAGGCCGATCCGATCAAAAAAATCTAGACCCGAACTAATTTCGGCCCAAACTTGACTCAGTCTGCCCATTTTATACCTCTGTTAGGAAATATGATAACTCGAATAATATAAGGAAAGGTATAAATGGAAGATATATCTAAAATTTAAATTTATTTCCCGAATTATAAAGTCAAACAAATCTTTGTGCAATAATAATTATCAAGGCAAACATTTATGTGAACTCGACAATTAAGTTACACCAAACTTTATATATATATATATATATAAGAAATTGAAATTATATGAGAAGTAACATCAAAACGAGCCGAAAGGATTATTATTATTATTATTATTATTATTATTATTATTATTATTATTATTATTATTATTATTATTATTATTATTATTATTATTATTATTATTATTATTATTATTATTATTATTATTATTATTATTATTATTATTATTATTATTATTATTATTATTATAATACATAGAGTTGACTTCAAAGAGGATTAGTTTGATTTGCGTGTGTGTAAAAATTGACAAAAGTGGGTTTATGCGGGTCTTACACGGTATGTCCAAGGATTTATGTTCAACGATTATACGAATTAAACATCAATCACAATTACAATCCATGACTAACAATAATTCAATATATATATATAATAACAGTGCAGTAATATATGTATTATGTATATATACAAATTTTATGAAAGGGGCAATAATTTTGTAAATACGATTTTATAAACAAATTTTATTTTTACGGGGTATTTAACATTTTGATCTATAATTTTACAAAAAAATTATTAAAAAAAATGAATTTTTTAATTAGTTATAGGGATTTTGTGACCCTATCCAATATAAGGTGGGTCTGTACGTATGTATACATATGTATGTATAGCGAAATATTTTTAGTGGGAGCAATAGTAATATATCTATAATTTCATATGATAAATTTAATTTTATTAGGGGTCATTTATCAATATTATTAAAAAAATTATAAAATTTAGGAAGACATTAATTTTTTAAACTAAATATGGGTACATATGACCCCATTATTATGTATTAAGTAGGGCAAAGTATTTATGTATAGATATATGTATATATGTATGTATGTATGTATGTATGTATAGAACACGTGTAAACTACTTAGTAATATGCAAGCTAACAACAAGTTTTAATAACAATAAATACAGTTGTTACAATGGCTAACAGGTCTATAATCTATATATTGACGTGGTATATATGTATATGTATATATACGAAGTACATTACACAATCTTCGTGGACTTAGTGTTATATAGACTCGAAAATATATTCATCCTATATATAGATTGACATAAATTTATTTTATCACTTCCATATTTATAAAGAATTGGAGTTAAATTTTCTCTTGTATATTCGAAACGAAATACAGTGTTTTTAAAATAATAAAAAAAATACGAGAAAGAAATACAAAGTGGATATAACTCAATAAACGCTTTACTCGTTTACAATAAGACTTTGTTTATATACAAATAATTGTTTAAGTTAGATTCAAACTTCAATAACCTATGATTTTTTTTTGTTTATTTTCTTTTGATAATCCGGAAATTCGTTAAACCTTTGGTCCAACTACATCTCCCAGAAAACCGGATAAATTCGAGTGAATATCCCTACACACGTTTGGATTTGTAGTGTAATATTATATGTTTAGGATAAAATATATACGTTGTATATTATAAAAATATTTCTCCTAATTTATATCATAATATATATATATATATACACACAGAGATCTATATCATATTATAAAAAAATGACGTAAATTGTAACATTTTACTAACAACATTTTCACAGTTAATTTGTAGCAAAAATATATTTCAATTGGACCGAAATCGTGACGAAACCTTAGTTGAATATAGCCAACAAAATTTTCATTGCAAAATTTCTTTAAAAAAATAAAGTTTGTTGTTAATTTCCAATGAATATTTCGTTACCAATAGAAATGGATTCTCAATCGTTGATAGGGTTTAAATTAATAAAATATAAATATCAAGTATCGTATTAATTGCTACCGGTGAATCCTAAACATTTGTGTAAGTTATGTTTTTACCGAAATTAACAATTGTTAAAATGTTATTTGTGAAAAAAAACAATTGAACTCGTAATCGAGTTTGAATTCGGATATCCAATTAACACGTGGTTTGTTAGAATCTCATGTATTACCAAAGAATTTCCGTAGCCATCTTACCACTAAAGAGCAATAATTACGTTACGTACCATTAAAATTAAACTATGGGATAAGGATAAAAATCGTTAGTCCAACATTTAGAGGTATAAATACATATAAATGATTTTTCACATTTGAAAGAGCCGACAAGATCACTTTAACGAAGAAAAGTCAAACATTAGGACGGTCAACACCTCTTTCAGATCTGAATTTCTGTGGCCCTCTCTTCTCCTGCAACAGTAGCCAATCAAAAACCATTGGAAAATTAAAAAAATATTTTAAAAACTATAAGTAAAAGAGAGAATAAATATTTAAATTAAATCTATATTAAATAATTTATTTCTGGGGGGAGAGTAAAAGTATTGATGGGTAAATCAGCACGAATATAATATTTAATTCGGAAATATTTTATTGTTTTCGTACCGTCCCGTCCTATTGTACGCGGATACGGAAAATTCAATAGTGGGGACATTTTCATATGAAATTAAATATTTAATATTATATAGTTGCCCATAACTTCTTTGATCCAACTTCCAAAGGCTATATATATAGAGAGAGAGAGATATATAGAGAAAGAGAGAGTCATATATTTCCGTTCTAAATAATGATATCATCATAAATAATTTTAAAAAAAATATTTAATAATTTTAAAAATATATACAATATAAAATAAAATTTATACTGTTTCAGAAATATATTATAATAAAAAATAATACAAAAAAATATGTATATATATGTCATTATAAGTGTATATATGTATATATGTGTGTCTCTCCTTATTTAGGAATGGACATTCACATGAGTTTCTCCGACCATTTGGAAAATGTAATTAATTTAACAATGTCAAAATCACAATATTGAGATTGAGATCCATTAGATTTTGGTATATTTTTATATTAATTTTTAAAGAGTTTGTGTATTTTTCTATAATTTTTCTATTTTTAAAAATATATATAATCAATTTAATTTTATATGATCATTTTAATTAAATTTTTAAATAAAATTTTAAATAATATATATAGGTTAAAATGAAAATGGAAAGTTTGGAAAAAGATAAAATAATATATAATTTAATATTTCATTTGGTATAATTTTTAAAATAAAATAATTGAATTTGAAAACAAAAAAAAAATCAAAGTATTAAAACGAAAAAGGAAATTAAAAAAATAAAGAACTAAATATGTTTAAATAAAATCTAAATTAAAGTAATAACCATTCAGTATATATCATATCATCGTCGCTCGAAGTATTAGGTGTTGGAGGGAACTTTGGTTTGGTATCTCACTCACAACACAAACCGCATACATGTAATGTATATATGCGGTCGTTTCTTTTTGTAGCGAAACAAATCATAATTATGTTATATATATATATATATAGCCTTTTTATTTTTATATTTAGGTTTTCACAATCTAATTTGGTAACTAAATTTAGTTTACAAAATATAAAAATTAAGACCTAACCCTTAAACCACCAGAAATTAAATATTTAGTCTATAAAACTTCATTACTTTTTTTCATAAAACATCATATTTATTTATATAAAAACTAAAGTTTGTTTCTTCTAATTTCCTAATTGATAAACCCATAGCTCATAACGGACTCTACATATCTTTAAAACATAAAAAAAATGTTTTTATCTGAAGTGCTGCCTTTTACAATTACTGAAAGGATATTAGTTTTGTAAGGAAAAAAATGTATTTTTTTTTGCTAAATTTTATAAGAAAATAGATTAATTTGGAACAAGGATATAAAGAGCCATTACTTCAATTTTGTGTTATCATTTTCCCGACTTTATATTGTTCTGTTTTTCTGTAGAGAAAATGGAAGTCATTGTGGCCACTGTCTTTATAACAGCAGTAAAGTGGAAAAAGATACAAATAATTTAGAAATAAAACTATAAATAATTTTGAAATAAATTGTGTTATATGGACCAATTGGATTTGTATATTGTGTGCTTGTCTACCGACATCAATAAAAGCCACGTGTCATCACCATGCATGAATTATCTCAGTTGATTTATAACACTCATTAAATTAATATTAAAAGATTTATACTTTTATTATATAATATACTATAGACGCATATGATTAGATCTAACACTTGCATGATTATGACATGATGATTTTTTGACCGCGTGTCATGAGTAGTTCCACCTAAAAAATGCATCAGTGCTGTTCATTTTTAAAAAATTTTATTTAAAAAACTCGTCTCCTTGTTTTATTTTTTCCATGTCGCATTTATCAACTCGCAAATGTTAAAAAATTAGATGATTTTTTAAAAGTATATTCTCCAACAAAATATGATTAGTGTGAATAAAAAATAACTATCGGGACATGATTAATTAATAATTATATGTTTCCTTAATAGCCAATTTGTAAGAAGTTACATTAATGGTATTTGATAAAACGAGGAAAAAAGGATATCACGTAGTTACATAACCTAATTAAGCATTAAACTATAATTAATTTAGACTTTTTGACAGTTATCAACTCAATAGATGGACTGACTATAGAACGAATCTAGAACCTTCACTAATAATTGCACATAAAGGCAGCCCTTCTTATTTATTTAATTTAATTAATTATGTTATATAATCAAACATAATTATAGCAAAATGCAACCATGTGGACAAGTGACTGGCCTTTGCCAAATGCGTTGTACCCATAATGGCATAATCCTCAAGGGGCGCTTTAAAGTAAGGCAACTAGTTAATTTTTTAAAAAATAAACTTTATGAGGAACGATAATTTAAATTTTAAATAGTATTTTATGCATAATTTGAGTACCAAACTTAATTGAAATATCATTGTGTCTTAGAAACGATTATTGGCTAATATACATGAACAATTAACAGCAACTACTACCGGGTAAAAATACTTATTCACATAACCATGTAAAAAAAGAATTTCAACTTCTAGTGAATATTTGGAATTTGTTTTATATAACATGATTTTGATATATTTCCATATCATAGTGAAGCTTGTTAGATATGGTTTCACGTGGTCACGTGATGCCCACTTAAGGCATAAATGGGCTTTGAGTTGGGCCTTTTGTTTATAATATTCACCTTGGGCCATTTGCTAACCATGGCCCACTGGCCTCTTGATTTCTACTTTATGTTTACAAATATAATATGATAATATGATACTATATTTTTTTTATTTCCTTTTAACCATAGACTAATGTTGCTGTATTTATTTGTTTCTAATTAAATTTAATCTCTCCGATCGTTGTAGATTTTTTTTGGACATTACACTCAATTTATTTTTCTTGGCTATTAAAACCGAATTTACTAAAAAAAATGTTTATAACAACTTATTATAATGTGCAAAAAGAAACAACCGACTGTAGTATTTCTAGCAACTTTTTTCAGATGTAGACTAATAACTTATGTTATGAAGCTATTATTACACTTTTAATTTAAAAAATTATAATTCCTAAACGGAGCTTCCTGATTTATTTTATTGACAGATAAATAGTGCAAATAATTTTGTTTATATTCGTCATGATTATGTAAATGACTATTAAGGACAAAGCAAAGACTTCTAGGCTATGGCTAAATCACATAATATAATATAATTTTGGGGTGAACGATTTCGGTATTGGACTGTTATTTGATTCAAAAATAATTTATTTTAAAAATATATATATTAATCATTTATTATATCATATCCGTTTCGCTTTTATTTCGATTTTTATTAAGAAAAAATTAGAATTTTTAATAAATTTTTAGTTTTTTATATATATTTTTTAAATTATTCGATTCGATTGGATTCAATTCTGAAAAATTCAGTTTTGTACAGAAAATTCTGTTAAAATTTTTTATAAAATTCGATTCGAATATTTATCGATTCGGTTTCATAACACCGCCTCTGATATAATCATCATAATCTCTTAGGCTCCGAGGGAAATTTCGTCTTTTCGTTTAGATTTTTTTTGGCCATCCTTTCATGAAAATATCTCGCTGTTGCAATCTCTACAATAACGACATCTGTACGAGGTGACTGGACTGCTAGTGGGCCCCAAGTATTACGCAATATAAACCGTTAGATTCATCGATCTTACGCAAAAAACTGATTAATCCGACAGTTGTAATCGCTGGACCACCCTTGTAGAATCTACGCGTACGCGTAGGAAATTACTCCACGCATTCAAGAAATGATAAAATCAACTTGCCCGATTGAATAGCTGAAAAAGGGGAATCTTTATCACCGTAGCCAAACATGAGTTCTGCCACGTCAGCCCTAAAGAAAACTTAACCATGGTTAGTTCTTCTTCCGAGGTTCTATATATATAGAGAGTCTGACTCCGCCCTCGTCATTTTACACATCGGAAAAAATGGATTCTGCAGAAGTCGAGTACAGGTGCTTCGTCGGAGGCCTGGCCTGGGCCACCGACGATCAGTCCCTGGAGAGGGCGTTCAGTCAGTTCGGAGAGGTCGTTGATTCCAAGGTCCGTTAGACACAGAAATCCGGCCCGGATCCGAATAATCTGACCCGAATCCGTGATCTCTGTTTTGTGTTACTTTGTGATTCTCTATGTTACTGTGTTACTATTTGTTACGCTTCCGAATCGGTACGTTCATCTTCTTGCTTTTGGGCCGAAGATTGATCGATTTTGTTAATTTGATTTGAGATCCGTCTGATTTTAGATTCGATCTGTGTTTTTTTCGCATTAGGTCATCAACGATCGTGAGACCGGGAGGTCCAAGGGGTTCGGATTCGTGACTTTTAAGGATGAGGACTCGATGAAAGCTGCAATTGAGGGGATGAACGGTCAGGAACTCGACGGCCGCAGCGTCACCGTCAATGAGGCTCAGGCGCGCGGTAGCCGTGGCGGAGGCGGTTATGGCGGTGGCTACAACCGCGGAGGAGGCGGTTACGGCGGCGGTGGATACGGCGGAGGTCGTCGTGAAGGTGGTTACGGGGGCGGTGGTGGCGGTTACGGAGGTGGCCGTCGCGAGGGAGGATATGGAGGAGGAGGAGGTGGTAGTTACGGTGACGGAGGTTACAGGGGCAGATCCGACGGAGGAAGCTGGAGAAATTGAGGATCGTGTGTGGAATAATTTTACAAATTGGAACGTTCTAGAAGAATGTTAGGGTCATTGGCTCTGCTTTTTGCGTGTGGGTTCTGTTCTCTCTAATCTTGATCGCTGGTTCTGTTGTTCTCGGTGGTTCGTTCATGTGTTGTTTCGATCAAATTGTTCGACATGGATATATCACCACACTTTTTTTGTAAGAGCGACCATAACTCCACCGATCGAAATGAGACGATTCCAGAATTCAAAACAAATATTATAAATAATTATTTTCTTTTTAGTATAGATATTTACATGAAGGGATATCCCAATTTTTCAAGATGTTCATAATTTTTGTTTTGCTCTTTCGGATTTTTTTGTCCACCCACCGATAATGTTTTGCCACGGGGCGACCATTTTGGGTTGTTCGGATTTGTTCCTTTGCTTTCGTTATGAAAAAAATTATAATCATTTAGTTTTTATATAAATTTCAGTTTGATTTTATTTCATTCGGTTTATTTGTTACAAAAAACTTATTTTTTTTCAAATAAATTTTTACTTTTTAGTTATTTTTTTTTGTTTGGTTTTGTTTGTTTCAATTTTTCTTGAAAAATCATATCTATTCGGTTTTTATACCGAATTTGATTCAATTAATCAGTTCTATTGGATTCGTCTATTCAATTAATAACCCAAATGATCATCTCTAAATTACTACCTTACCTGACTTAATCCACCTCTAATGTCAATACTCTAATTATAAATAATTTAATAAAAGTAATTCTGATGTTAGTTTTGTTTTAGATAACCGAATATCATATAATAAAATCCTATAATAATTTCGAAATCGAGACTAACCATATGATTTGGAATATATGTCCCTCCCCAAATTTGAAATTCGAACTTACAACGTAACATATCCTTTGCATTCTCGTTTCACCATTGAACTATAAAAATTTGGATTTCCCATCTTAGTTTTGTTTGTTTATAAGATGCGCTAATAATTTGGTTGCAGTATTTAAATAGGCTTGCTCATAAACATTTTATTTCTTTTGGTATGTTTTAATTTTGGTACAGTTTTTAAATAGTTCTATTAATAAACTTGTTATTTCCTTTGGCGTATTTTAATAATAAGTCGAAAATTTTAGTGATAATTCTTAAAACTTAAGAAAAAAATAAGATAAACCATTACAACAATCAACTTGCATGGAATTTAGAGTATGTGAGTTACAAATTATGTCAACCGTTGTTGTGAGATTTCAGAGAATCTCCGAACCTTTTGATTTTAAGATTAAATGGGGTTAAGGTTTCGTCCTCTAATTGAAAAAGACTCATTATTATTAATATTTTTATACAAATTTTAAAATTTGTTTTTTTAACTAGAAAATTCATAAGATATTCGCTCCAACTATATCTCTCACACTATGTATAACAATTAAATTCCGTACATTCCTCCCACATATTAAATCGAATCGGTTATCTTAAACTACTAACTATCGTTTTACGATTCGACCATCTCAAATGTCTACTACTCGATCATCAAAATTATAAAATTTATGTATTTATACAAAATTAGAAATTCATTTATTTATTTACTAAATTTAAAAAATTCATAATTTTTTGGCAATATTCTCTTATTTTATGTGAAAATATTCTTTAATTTTTTTTAAAACCATGGGTCTCAGATATGTGAAAAATAAATAGTGTTGAATAGTATATTGGTTCTCAATGATAGGAACAAATTTTCTTTGGGGAAAAAGAAGAAACACAATATGGAAAAATTGGGATTTGAAATGTCATTATTAATTAAGGAAATTGATATGAGAAGAAACCAGCCCAAAAAGTTTGGGCCGAAGGCCCAGGTGAACCTCTCGGTTATCAAAAAAAAAATGGGATTTGAAATGTCATTATTAATTAAGGAAATTGATATGAGAAGAAACCAGCCCAAAAAGTTTGGGTCGTGGGCTTACGTGGGCGTTCTTGGGTTGGGCTAAAGAACCGAATGGGTCCAATTGGATATGATACTCTTAATTGAAATAAATGGGACATTATCAAAAATAGTCTTACTTTGTTATTTGTATTTCAAGACCTACCCTTGTGATCATGTGACCAATGTGACCGAAATATAGTGTGGTCACATATTGATTCCATTATTTATAACGTTAAATTTATGATGTTTTAATCAAATGATCAGTAAGATATATAGGTTATGAACATAATGAATTAGTGTGATCACCATAAATTTAACATTATAATCGATAAAATCAAAATGTGACCATACTATATTTCGGTCATATTGGTCACATAGTCACAAGGGTAGGTTTTGAAGTAGAAATAGCAAATTAAAAGTATTTTTGATATAATGCAGAAATAAAAATGGAATCTAAAATGAATACTCAAATTTAACATAAAAACTAAAGTTATATCTTTAATACCAAAAAAATAAAGACGAATGGAATAGAAATCGAAAATAAACCCAAAGACAAAATCCGACCGTATAATAATTGATTATCCCTCCTATGTAAATTGATTAAGTCGTGAATATTATTTAGAACAGATTTGGTTGGAAAAAGAGAGGTCAATAAATTGAAAAACAAAGTTTTAAGAGTGTATGAAAAGTCAACGTGTTCGAACCAACTGTGAGAATCCGTATATATATGTACATACTTATATATACGTATGCATGCATATATATATATATATACCTATACATATAAGAGTTTAATTTTTTTTTAAAAATTTGTTTTCTTGGTCGAATGTGCTTTGTTTTGTTTTTAAATTTTTTTTGTTGATTTGATGTTGACAAATAACAACGATAGTAGAAATGAACGAGTCGCGGATTAAACAGAATTAATGGAATATGACAAAATTTATATATTTGTTTAGGAATATTGTAGTCTATATATTTATTTATTTATAATATTTTACCAAAATAATTATTTTTTTTATGAATTCTTGGTATTTTTATATCATCCAACTAAAATATATATTCTATTTTTTTTATTTAGATACAATCCCAAAAAAATATATAAATGTATCAATTTTTACAAAATAAAACCTTAATTTTGTTTTTATCAAATAAAATCTCAACTTAATTTTTCAGTCATAAATAAATCTAAATTTTATAAAAATTATAATTCTTAAACTCATTACTAACATGATATCGATATCGAGACATGCTGACATATCAAATATAATCAAAATGTTGATTTAACATATATAATATCGTTATCACATGTTATCATTAAGATTTAAAAATGTTAAAGATTATAAAGTTTTGTTTTTTTTTCGACTAAAAAATGAAATTAAAATTTTATTTAATAAAAAATAAATTTTAGATTTTATTTTATAAAAACTAATAAATTCATATTTTTTTTGGAATTTTTCCTTTTATTTATTTACATCATCATTAGTTTTTAGAGATACAGCTAAAAATTATAGGAGTTTTTTTTTTGCCCCGAAACAAATCCAATCTCGCACAAGTCCATTTTGATTTTATACATATATATATATATAATTTCCCAATTTTTTTCAGTCTTATAATTCGTAACTCACCTTTTTTTTCATTTTTATCCGTAAATTCCAATGAAATATACACAAAACAAAAATTGAAGGATCATTTGGAAATTGTGCGATGTATCAACTAGAAACAAAAATTCAAGAACCAACTAGAAAGAGTCTTCTATTTGTAATTTTTTTTTCTTTCACATTTTCAATTTCTATTTTCCCCAAGGGTCCCATTTATCACATCTTCTTCTCCCCCACCAACTAGGCAACTTATTTTCACACTTAAATAACAACTAATTCAATTTAGATAACCGTTACATTAAATATGGCCATAGTGAAATTGGGTGTACAACATTTACGACCACAATTCAAATTGCTAAAAACATGTAGCCTTGGTTGGATTGGTTGGTTGTGTTATATGGGAAAATGGGGAATATTACAAAAATACATTTAAATGTGACAAGAGACTTGAGGTAGTAACTTTGGAAATCTAGGGTTTTCAAAAAAAATTGAAAAAAAGCTGAAAAGACATTAACACCATTAATGAAAAAGACACGTGTCAAGATTAGAATGAAGGTAGAAAAAAAGGGAAGTTATGAAATCAAAAATTTTAAAAAGATACGTGTTAGTTTCAAAATGGCGTATCCCCCCTCAAATGGCGCCCGAAATTACATTTATACCCCTTTTCGAGCTTATATATACACACACCACATGTAATCTACAACAAATCATAGAACAAGTTCCTCCTTTTTTTTTCAAGAATTAGGAGGAAAAAACAGATGATTTAGCAGACGGATGAACTGTTTCACCTTCTGCGTATCTCCCTCCCTCGATTACTTCGGTCGCTAAGCGTAAAATCCTTGTACGTGTTCATCAATGGCGTCCATTCTCTGTTTTTAGTTACCAGACCCGGAATTAAAACCCTAGAACACTCCTCCCCATTTCGCATTTAGATTTTCCAGATTTCGCATTATATAAACGTGCCCACCACTTGATTTCTCCTCCGACCGAGATTCCAGAAAAAAGGTGTTTTCCAATTTTGTCGGATTCTCTGTTTGCGAAATCGACATGAACGCCGAACCCGTCAATGGAGGATCCGTACGGATCCGGACAAGGGATGGGACCCGGAAGCTTCCCAATTTCTTGCAGAGCGTGAACATGAAGTACGTGAAGCTAGGTTACCATTGCCTCATAACCCACATGTGGAAGCTCTGTCTGGTTCCGTTAATAGCGGTCGTAGCCACAGAGGCCTCTCGGCTTAGCCTAGATGATCTCCGACATCTCTGGCTTCATCTCCAGTACAATCTCTTCGGCATCGTCGTTTTCTCTGCCGCTCTTGCCTTTGGGTCGACCGTCTTCATCATGACCCGACCCAGACCCGTTTACCTCGTTGACTACTCCTGCTACAAGCCTCCATCGAATCTGGTGGTGAATTTTCAGAAATTCATGAACCATTCGAGGCTCATTGAAGATTTCGACGACTCCTCGCTCGAGTTTCAGAGGAAGATCATCCAGCGTTCTGGTCTCGGCGAAGAGACACATCTCCCGGAGGCTCTCCAATGTATTCCTCCAAATTCGACAATGGCGGCGGCGAGAGAGGAGGCCGAACAGGTAATGTTCGGTGCCCTCGACAACCTTTTAGAAAACACTAAGATTAGCCCTAGAGACATTGGGATATTGGTTGTGAACTGTAGCTTGTTCAACCCAACACCTTCCTTATCCGCCATGATCGTGAATAAGTACAAGCTTAGAGGGAACATCAAAAGTTACAATCTTGGAGGAATGGGTTGTAGTGCTGGCGTCATCGCCATTGATCTTGCCAAGGACTTGCTCCAAGTTCATAGGAACACCTACGCTGTTGTGGTTAGCACAGAGAACATCACTCAGAACTGGTACTTTGGCAATAAGAAATCGATGTTGATTCCCAATTGCTTGTTCCGTGTTGGAGGGTCTGCGATTTTGCTGTCGAACAAGCCATCGGACCGGAGACATTCTAAGTACAAGCTCATCCACACTGTCCGAACCCATAAGGGAGCAGATGACAAGGCTTTCAAATGTGTACACCAAGAACAGGACGGCAAGGGCAAGACCGGAGTTTCTCTGTCAAAGGATCTAATGGCTATTGCAGGGGAAGCCCTAAAGACGAATATTACCACTTTAGGTCCCTTGGTTCTTCCCATAAGCGAGCAGATTATCTTCTTCATGACTTTGGTTGCTAAGAAGCTTTTCAATGCAAAGATCAAACCTTACATACCCGATTTCAAGCTCGCCTTTGAGCATTTCTGTGTTCATGCGGGCGGTAGAGCGGTGATCGACGAGCTTGAAAAGAATCTGCAGCTTTCGGATACGCATGTGGAAGCATCTAAGATGACATTGCATAGGTTTGGCAACATTTCTTCCAGCTCCATTTGGTACGAATTGGCTTACACTGAGGCTAAAGGCAGGATGAGGAAAGGAAATCGGGTCTGGCAGATTGCTTTCGGGAGCGGGTTCAAGTGTAACAGCGCGGTCTGGATGGCTCTCCGCAACGTCAGACCCTCGGTTAATAGCCCTTGGGACGATTGCATCGGTCGATACCCAGTTAAGATTGATCTTTGAATCCCCCAAAATCATTTAGATTGATTTAAGATACGGTTAGTCCAAATATACACATAGTCTCTCCTCTTTTTCTTGTTATACTATACTTCTTCTATGAAGGGTTTGATCACATTGCCCATGTTAGGTTGGTGATTGTGAATTGTGATGTCATCTCTTTTTTCCTTACTTGACCAAAAAATCTTATCAATAGAAGGTTTGTAACTGTATTGATACGCGTATATATATATATATACATATATGTATATATAGTTTACATGTAAAAGAGAATGGGTTTTGTGTAGAGGTGTAATTTTGGTCCGTGACCCGAAATCCGGTCCGGTCCGGTCCAAGTTATTTTTTTTTGCATAGATATTTAGGCCTGAAAATTTTTGGGCTTTCGGGTCGGGCTCGATTCGGGTTTCGGACTCGATTCGAGCCGATCCGAAAGTCTGATATTTTTTTAAAAATTCTTAAAAAAAAGAAAATATACATTTACAAAGAAAGTTGTGCGGATCGGGCCGGTTCGACCCGACTCGATCCGAATTCGAGATATATAGTATTGAGTTTCGAGCTTGATGATATAGGCCCGAAAAAATCGGGTCGGTTCGAATCCAAGCCCGAAATCCTTGCGCTGAGTACACGTTAGGTTGGTGATTGTGAATTGTGATGTTTACTACAACGGTGTTTGGTCAATTCCTCCCCCCCAGATAAGATAATTCTCTCTAACTTGCCATCTATCTAGCTTCGATTAGTCCTTCAGATAGTTTGGATGAGGTAACTTGGCAAGTGGCAGGAAGGGCTGTGACTCAGTTTTCCACTAGAGAGATCTGGAAATCAGTAAGGGACTCATGTGACTCTGTTTCTTGGGCTGATCTTATATGGCATAAGCATTATATCCCCAAGTATGCTTTCAACACTTGGCTAATCAATTTGGATAGGTGTCCGACAAGGGCTCGAATGATCTCATGGAGATTGAATGTGGATCCCAAATGCCTACTTTGTCATGGCACTGAAGAGACTAGAGATCATATCTTCTTTGCATGTGTATACTCATCCAGCATTATCGCAATCTCCCTAGGTAATCTGATCCGAATCTCTGTTAACCCCTCCTGGAATGATCTGCTTTTCGTTCTGGGTAACAACCATGGATGCAAGGTAAAGAGATTCACGATCCTATCAATATGGCAGATAGCTATATATTTGACTTGGAAGGAGCGGAATAATAGACTGCATCGAGGTCATTTCTCGGATAAATCATTATTGTTAAGAGAAATAGACAGTGTATTCCGCACACGTATTGCGGCGCTCAGACCATCTGCCCCTGAGGTTTGCAGGGTTAAGCCTCTAACTTTGGTTCGCCAGATCTTCTCTACATATTCCATAGGGGTTGATACTTGTGTGCCTTTGGGTTTTTTTTGTAATGCCATGTAGCTCCAACTATGTAAATCCCTTTTAATTAATACAAACCTTTATCAAAAAAAAAAAAATTGGACCGGTAACAGACCAATAAATGCAAAGAAAAGTCAAGAGTGTTGTGTTTTTTTCATGTTCTGTTTCAGAAGACACGTCAGCACAGCAAAATCTTGTCATCGTTTATGCTTGGATCTGTCATCACTCACAAGTCACGATACATTCATGATTCAATTGACATCATACGTAGGACCTTACAGCTAACCAAATTTAATTTACACCCTCCCTCATGACGAAAGGCACCAAAAAGAAAAATAAAGTAGAATTTTTAGTTGTGTTGAAGGCAAAATGATTATTGAAATTAAGAAAAAATAAAGCTTCTAAATAGACAAAATTTATATAAATTATCAACTAAATCCATAATTATACCAAATATATTGTATATATTCTAAAATACTGGAAGATACATAAGTCCATAACCACAACTATGTGATCCAAATATCATACATACCTATTTGAAAGATTGTAACGTTTGGTACGACACTAAATTACTAGCAAAATAATTTTCCAGATTTTTTTTTGGTTATTTCCAAATTCAAAGATTACAGATTTATAAATGTTTAGTTATGAGATAGACCAAATGAATATTTGAAAATAATATTGTGATTCAAAATGGAATTCAAATAATCAAATTCAATTTGAACTAAAAATGTGAATTAAAGTCGAGCCCAATCCAAAAGAAAAATAATTGGACTAGTCCACTATAGTACTACAGCCCAATCCAAGAGCTGTATAAACCGAAAAGAAAAAACAAATAGATTAATGACGGAATCGTGAAAAAGAAGAATTATAGAATTATATAATAGCAAGATGTTTTTAAAAAAGGAATATTTGTTATATTGTAGCATACATTGAGCAAAAAAAAAATGAATTATATAATAGTTATTAAATAATATAAGAGATAAATGATGTAATTGTGAAAAAAAAATCGTCGTTGGAAATATTCCCTTAAGCACATGTTGCTGGACAACGATCGAAATGTATTTGTTACTCTTGACATTTTTTTATTTATTTTCAATTAGTAGAATTTAATTATACACAACTAAACTTCAATATATAAATCTTAGTAAATTAATACTGCAGTGTTCTATGTTTTTTTGTTGTTGTAAGTTTTGATTAAATCACGTGTGCATGTGATCGTTAGCTTTAACATATGAAATTCATGAGTCCATATGTCGAAATGTATCATGTGAATCATACACATCTATACGTGTGTGCAAGTATATGTATATATGCGTGTCTATATAATTACATACATGCACAAGTTGTCATGAGATGAGAACCATATATATAAACAACCAATTCTAGATGTTCTAACTATAACTATAGATTTTTTAGTTTACCGTTGCAACACGAAATACTGCTTAATGTCTACGAAATAATTCTTTTTAGGTTTTAAATTGCGACGGAAATATCCGTCACTTTTCGTCGCAAGCAGAGGCGGATCTACTTGGTGAGGAGTGGGGGTACAGACCCCTATTCAAATTAAAAAAATAATAAAATTTGTGTATAAATTTTATAAAAATACTAAGAAAACTGTCCAATGCCCCCCATTAAAATGGCATTTGGTTTTATAAAATTATATGTATAAAATCCATGCCCCACTTATATTTTTTTCTAAATCCGCCACTGACGACGACGTCCAACCAATGACATAGTAATATTTGAATATTGTAACGGCTGCAGACTTTGGATAACGGATTTCAAAAATTGTGACGGAAATAGACTTTGTATACTTCTCTGACAACATGCAGAGTGGCTCGAAATTTTCAACGTGATGACATAAATTTCCGTCGCTATGTTTAAATTCCCGTTGCAATGAGCCACATGTCAAGTATTAAAAGGCCTAGCGACGGACTAGAATAGATATTTCCGTCGCAATACGAAATATAGCGCGAATCATCTTCTTCTTCACAGATCCGAAACGCCAAAATCGCCATTCGTCACCTAACATCGCCAAAATTTCCATAAAAGTCCGCCGTTTTCGCCCAATTTAGAGTTAAGAAATAAAATTTGACATTTAACCAAAGTTTTTTTTATGTGTTTGTGATAGTTTAGGGTTCGATTTGGTATGTATATATATATTGTATATGTTCGATTCTGTTTTTACGTCCATAACATAGATTATACCTATATATTTATATATATTCAAATAGACATACATATCAATATATATTTATATCCAATTTGATATATTATTTTAATCGGTTTAATTCGGTTCGGTTATATATCAGTTGGGTTAGGTTCGAACAGATTTTTGACCATATTTTTTTTTTGTATTTGTGTTTAGAGATTTATTTGTTAGAATTTATAAAGTACAAGTATATTTCGGCGAATAAGTATAAATATAGGGTTTGTTTGGTAATAAAAAAATAAAGGGTTTTTTTTGTCTAATATTTAAAGAGTATATATATATTTCGGCGAATAAATATAAATATAGGTTTTTTTGCTAATAAAAAAAATATATAATTTTTTATCGTCATCGGAAGAAGAGGACGAATATAAGGCTTTTTTGGCAATATTCCCTTATCATCATCATCATCATCATCATCATCATCATCATCATCATCATCATCATCATCATCATGTGTTACCATTTCGTTGCGACCAAACGAACGAATTTGTGTAAACCGCGTACAAGATGAGGGGGACACAGAGCCGTCTTAAGACATGTTCAAGCATTTGCACATAGTCCCACAAATAGGTGGGGCATATTTTTTAAAATTTTTATATTTATAATTTTAAAAAAAATATTTAATAAAATTAAAATACCTGATTTTTAAAGTTTGATTTATCTCAATAAATATTTTTTACAACAGATTTTCAAATGAGGTGGGCCTTTAAAACATAGTTTTTCTAAACAAATTTGTAGTTTAAAATAATATTTAATATAAAATTAAAAGATCGATTTTTTTCAACATTCATCGTTTGGATTAATTAATAAATATTTTTTAGTTATATACCATCATTTATGATAAATGATCGTTCATCTATTAAATTATAATTTATTTAATCATAATTATAATTTTTTCTTTAAATTTAAAATGGAATTTATATTGTTCTAGAACAACATTGATTTTTTAACTCCAAACTTATTAGAAAAAATCAATTTTCATATCATACCATTCATTTCATTTTTTCATTTTAAAAATATGTTAAAATTTTAAGATATTAAATATTTAATTTCTTGTTTTTTATATCTTTTAATCATATATTATAATTATTTATTAATTTTAACAATAATATTATCATTATAATTTTTTATATTAATATTTTAATAATATTTAGAACCAATTATTATAACAATTTGGTGGGTATCAAACAATATGTCCCAATCCGAGCACGTTTAATACCTTTCTTATGTATTGATATTTTTTTTCGTATTTATTTTTATTGAAAAATTAAATAGGGCTTTCAGGTTCGAAACCCGATTTGAGTCTGATCCGAAAGTCTGAATTTATTTAAACCTGAAGTCTGATATTTTTTGAATGAACTCGGGTCGAGTTTTAGACTTCATGCCAAAATTGACACACAAACAATTTGGTCTAAATTGGCCCGACTAGTTGTATCACTATGGTTGTCGTTACAGGTTGTATTTTTTTTAAAACATTTGATGGCGATTATGAAACATTTGATACTGACTCATTAATAAGTTATCATTGGAACTATTGTGGGTAATTGTGATTATAAGTGAATAATTGATTGTAGTTGCGATTGTATTTTGATATAAATTATAAAAAAATGATATTATTTTAAAATAAAATTTTAAAATAGTTGTAATTAAAATTTTCATTTGATAAAAATATTTACTAATTTTATCATAATTAAATAAAAAATAAAATATAAATTTCCATCAATTTAATTTATTTTCAAGTAGGCAATTAATTTTATTATCTATTTTGGAAAATTTCAAGGCAAAAACAATCTTGAAAGAGGTATCTATTTTTCATTTTTTTCACATGTTCAGTTTCCATTTTCCCAATGGTCCCCAATTATCTCCTTCTCCCAAACTTGGGAACTTATTTTCATACTTAAATAACTCTAATTCAATTTAGTTAAGCGTTACATCAAATATGTTCATAATTAAATTGTTAAAAACATGTAGCTTTGATCGGATTGGTTGGTTGTGGGAAATCGTGTTCTTACATATGATTTTTTAAAAAATAAAATCGTTTTCCAATTGCTATTTATAGTGATTTGATAATCCAAATGGATAGAATCAGCTAATCCGGCCCCAAAACCTTTTTGTATACATTTTTTTTTTGTTTATTATAGATTTGCCGTACACCCAAAAATAAATTTCAAAGCTTGCTATCTCCGCCCTCAAATGGCATCCGAAATTACATCTATACCCTTCCCGACGTAGCATGCGAGCTTCGTTTCGTCCACTCCAATTCTATATATACACACACACCACAGAATCTAAAACGAATCATAGAGCAAGTAGTTCCTTTTTATTCAAGAATTAAAAAAAAAAACACACACACAGATGATTTAGCAAACAGATGAACTGTTTCATCTTCTACGTAAAATCCTTGTACGTGTTCATCAATGGCATCCGTTCTCTGTTTCTAGTTGTATCAAACCCACCAAACCCTAGAACACTCCTCCCCATCTCGCATTCAGATTTTCCACCAAACACAACTAAGGATTAGATCCTAGACATTATTGGAAACTAGATCTTAAATAAAATAAAATTAATAATCCTAATCAAGTTTATAACTAACAATTTTCTTGCAGAGAGCGTGAGCATGAAGTACGTGAAGCTAGGTTACCATTGCCTCATAACCCACATGTGGAAGCTTTGTCTAGTTCCGTTAATGGCGGTCGTAGCCAAAGATGCCACTCGGCTTAGCCCAGATGATCTTCGACATCTCTGGCTCCATCTCCAGTACAACCTCGTCGGAGTTGTCGTCTTCTCCGCCGCTCTTATCTATGGGTCGACCGTCTTCATCATGACCCGACCCAGATCCGTTTACCTCATTGACTACTCGTGCTACAAGCCTCCATCGACTCTGGAGGCGAATTTTCAGAAATTCATGGACCAGTTGAGGCTCGTTGAAGATTTTGACGACTCTTCGCTCGAGTTTCAGAGGAAGATCATCGAGCGTTCCGGTCTCGGCGAAGAGACACATCTCCCGGAGGCTTTCCACTGTATTCCTCCGAGGCAGACAATGGTGGCGTCGCGAGAGGAGACCGAGCAGGTAATATTCGGTGCCCTCGACAATCTTTTAGAAAACACCAAGATTAACCCTAGGGAAATTGGGATATTGGTCGTGAACTGTAGCCTGTTCAACCCAACACCTTCCTTATCTGCCATGATCGTGAATAAGTACAAGCTTAGGGGGAATATCAAAACTTACAATCTTGGAGGAATGGGTTGTAGTGCTGGCGTCATCGCCATTGACCTTGTTAAGGACTTGCTCCAAGTTCATAGGAACACTTACGCTGTTGTGGTTAGCACAGAGAACATCACTCAGAACTGGTACTTGGGCAATAAGAAATCGATGTTGATCCCCAATTGCTTGTTCCGGGTTGGAGGGTCAGCGATTTTGTTGTCGAACAAGCCATCGGACAGGAGACATTCTAAGTACAAGCTGGTCCACACTGTCCGAACACATAAGGGAGCTGATGACAAGGCTTTCAAATGTGTGTACCAAGAACAGGATGGCAATGGCAAGTCTGGAGTTTCTTTGTCAAAGGATTTGGTGGCTATTGCAGGGGAAGCCCTAAAGATGAATATTACCACTTTAGGTCCCTTGGTTCTTCCGATAAGTGAGCAGCTTCTCTTCTTCATGACTTTGGTTGCTAAGAAGCTTTTCAATGCAAAGATCAAACCTTACATACCTGATTTCAAGCTCGCCTTTGAGCACTTCTGTGTTCATGCGGGCGGTAGAGCGGTGATCGACGAGCTTGAAAAGAATCTGCAGCTTTCGGATACGCATGTGGAAGCATCTAGAATGACATTGCATAGGTTTGGCAACACTTCTTCCAGCTCCATTTGGTATGAATTGGCTTACACCGAGGCTAAAGGCAGGATGAGGAAAGGAAATCGGGTTTGGCAGATTGCTTTCGGGAGCGGGTTCAAGTGTAACAGCGCGGTCTGGGTGGCTCTCCGCAATGTCAGACCCTCGGTTAATAGCCCTTGGGACGATTGCATCGGTCGATACCCGGTTAAGATTGATCTTTGACTCACCCAAAATCATTTAGATTGGTTTAAGATTATGGTCGGTCCAAATATACATATACTACTTAGTCTCTACTATTTTTCTTCTTACACTATGCCTCTTCTATGAAGGGTTTTATCACATTGCCATGTTAGGTTGATGATTGTCATGGCTCTCTTCTTCTCTTTTTTTCCCTACGTGATCAAGAAATCTTATGAATGGCTGTTGAAGCATTAAGGTTTGTAACTGTATTGATGCATATATACGAGTGTATATATAGTTTGCAAGTAATAAAAGAGAATGGGTTTCGTGTATTTTGTTAATTAAAAAAAGGAATACTAATTAATATATGTTATATTATAACATACCTTGAGCAAAAAAATTGAATTATATAATATTTATTCCCTTACAAAGAAAAAAAAAACAACTCAAGGAAAGGAACATGAGATACAGCTCAAGGAAAGAACTCGGTCGAAATGTATTTGTTACTCTTGACATTTTTTTTATTTTCAATTCGTATAATTTAATTATACATAACTAACTTCAATATATAAATCTTAGTAAATTAATACTGCCATGTTCTTTGTTTTTTATTGTAATTTTTGAGTAAGTTACGTGTGCATTTGATCGTTAACTCTAACATATAAAATATAAAATTTGTGTTGAAATAGAAAAATATATATGTGATTGGAAGAAATATAAATTTTAAAATATTATTGAAAATAACAACGAATATAATATCATATCAAATATTGTGTATTTTTTTATTTCTATTTTATAAATATGTGAATCGTTTTTATTATAATAATAACAAGAAGAGATATAGTAATAAAGTGTTCTTCGGTCTTTTTATATTTTATTTTTTTATTTAATTTCCTTATTTTATTTTTTAATATTCGATGAGTGTATATTTTGAAATTAATCATGTGAATCATAGACATCTATGCGTGTGTACAAGCATATGTATACATATATATATATATATGTACTCTCACACACACATGCAAAACGTGTCATGATGAGATGAGAACCACATATAGACCACATCAAATTTTAGATATTCTAACTAGAACTATAGATTTAGGTGATGGAGGTCATACATATATATAGGTTCCATTATCGTTCGTCCTCCCTTTGATACATGTAGCATTGTGTTTCGAAAGAGATTTACAAGGCCCCAAACATTGCGTGTAATTAATTCAATACATTAAAATAGAACTACAAGTATTTGCTAATTAAATGAGTGTAAATATTAAGTCTTAAATGCCACATGCATGAAACTTCATGAAATATTCACAGCTATATATTTGAAATATTTAATACTTTAATAATCTCTCTTTATATATGTGTGTGTGTGTAGATACACTTGTGTAACGATTCTTAGAAGTGAAATTATTTATCTTGTTTCTAAGGAAGTCAAAGATGGGACTTGATGAAAGTCTGTCATGGAGATATTTTCACATGTTCTTCGTTATACGTTGTATTTTCTTGACGGGCAATAAAGTATATAACAAAATTTATTTTTTTAAGCATATATTCTCTAATCGCGAAAACTTGGCCTAAATAGCATATATTTCAATGTTGTCTATTAAAGCTCCATGTATTTACAGAGCGAAGCGACCCTTTTTTCATTTTTAAGAGTGTAACATTAACCAATCAATTTCATGTATACTTTTGTTATAACGCCGAATTTTATATGGATCTTACGATTTAATAAATCTCATACGACTAGAGACGAATCTTTATTTCTAGACTGATTATATGCATATAGAGTGTTCTTGGGAGATTTTCCCTTTAAGATAAAACAACTCATCTCAACGTATTTACTACCTTATGTAACAATTATCATCATCATCATCATCATCATCATTATTATTATTATTTAGTGTCATTTTCTCATGCACAATTACGTTCATTAGTACAAAAGCTTTGGATTTATGAAAATGGGTATTTATACTTTACATCATTGTATATAGTTTTCCAAGATCTCTTAAAATCTCATATATTATATACACACGCATACAATATATATATATATATATATATATATAGTTTTCTTATTTAACACGTATCAAACACACACACACACATATATATGCATGCAAAAGGAGTAGAACCAGACGAGTCATTGAGAATTGAGAGAGAAATAGAGCATACCGATATTCTGTTTCACCTTCTCCCTTTGCCCTCTCAGACACTAACTCACAATGAAACAGGTGAAGTTGTTTTACCATTACCTAATAACACACTTCTTCAAGCTCTGTTTACTCCCTTCAATGGCGGTTTTAGCCATTAAGGCCTCTAGTCTTAGCCCCGAAGATCTCCACAACCTCAGCCTCCATTTTCAGAACAACCCTGTGTCAGTGACCGTATTCTTTGCCCTTGTCGTCTTCGGGTCGACCCTCTACGTCACGACCCGGCCACGACCAGTTTACCTCGTAGACTTCTCCTGTTATCTTCCTCCCTCACATCTCAAACTCAGCGTCCAACAGATCATAGATCAGATTAGAAAGATAAGTGAAGCGGACACGTCTTGGTTTAACCCTAACGACGAGTGGAAGGTGGATTTTCTGAAAAAGATTCTAGAACGTTCGGGTCTCGGGGACGAAACCCACGTGCCGGAAGCTTTGCTTTGTGTCCCGCCGAGGCAGACAATGGCGGCGGCACGTGAGGAGACAGAGCAAGTTATATTCGGTGCCCTAGACAACCTTTTCGAGAACACCAAGGTTAACCCACGTGAGATCGGTGTATTGGTCGTGAACTCGAGCACGTTTAACCCTACTCCCTCTCTATCCGCCATGGTAGTGAACAAATACAAACTGAGGAGCAATATCAAGAGTTACAATCTTGGAGGAATGGGTTGTAGCGCTGGTGTAATCGCCATTGATCTTGCCAAGGACTTGTTACGAGTCTACAAAAACACTTATGCCGTTGTGGTCAGTACAGAGAACATTACTCAGAACATGTACTCCGGTAATAACAAATCGATGCTGCTTTCGAACTGCTTGTTCCGTGTCGGGGGAGCTGCTGTGTTGCTTTCCAACAAGTCAGGAGACAGGAGAAGTTCGAAGTACAAGCTCGTTCACGTTGTCCGGACCCACACTGGAGCTGATGACAAGTCTTTCAGATGCGTAAACCAGGAACAGGACGAGAGTGGTAAGGCCGGAATTTTTCTGTCCAAGGATCTACCTCTTGTCGCCGGCAAAACCCTAAAGGTTAATATCGCCTCTTTGAGTCCACTGGTTCTTCCCATGAGCGAGAAACTTCTCTTCCTAGTGAATTTCATCGCCAAGAAACTGTTCAAAGCCAAGATCAAGAACTATATCCCGGATTTCAAGCTCGCATTCGAGCATTTCTGCATCCATGCTGGCGGGAGAGCATTGATCGATGAATTTGAGAAGAGTATGAAACTTTTGCCAATCGATGTCGAACCTTCGAGGATGACATTGCACAGATTTGGTAACACTTCTTCAAGCTCCATTTGGTATGAATTGGCTTACATAGAAGCAAAGGGAAGGATGAAGAAAGGAGATCGGACTTGGCAGATCGCCCTCGGCTCGGGGTTTAAGTGTAATAGCTCGGTTTGGATGGCTTTGCGCAACGTTGAACCTTCGGCTAACAATCCATGGGGAGATTGTATTGACAAATACCCGGTTAAGGTTGATCTCTGATTCATCAAATCTCGGGGCCGATTTCGAAATTTCTCAGGTCCGAATTATCATATATACGACAATGCTTACTTTGAAAATTCGATCTTTTAGATTATGGTGTTGATGCTTTCTCTCATTTTGTGTTATGCAATCAAGAAACCCTATCATTGTGTCATTTATGTAATCATTTGTTTATTATGTCAGGCAATCTAAATACAAAATATTATAAAATTTAAGTCTTTCTGCGATTAGGTGCTGAAACATTAAGATATATTTCTGATTTTTTCCAGTAAAAAAATAATATTACAATGTAAAATGGGATTTTCAAATCGTAAATGGAACTAACGTTTAGGGTTTTATACAGTGTTGTCTCACATATAACGATTATTACGTAATTACAGCTTTATTATATGCTTTAGCAATGCATATATTTCTCGAACTTAAGTTAAGTTACATCGCTCGTCCTCTTTGTGATCTTATATTATATAGCGTTGTGTTTCAAAATAAATCGGGAAAGCTTTCTTCCTACGAGACACCAAAAAACATAGTTGTTTGTAAATTACATTAGAAAATAAACTACAAAAAAAAAATATTCGTTACAACTATGTAATGATTCACAGCTATTTATCAAAATTTTAATAATTAAAATATATATGTATATATTTGCAACAATGTAATGATTCTTGGGAGTGAAATTTGCCCTTCTGCTATGGCACATGAAAGTGTGTCATTGAGATATGCACATGCTCCACGCTGTATTTTCTTGACTGACAAGTAACATTTTGTTTTGTAATATACTTATGTTTGAGATTCGAATCCCTAATCTCTTATTTGATGGAGAAATACACGTTACCATTAGACTACCATATATATATATATATATATAAAGTCTATGATTAATTACAAAAACTCGTTTAGTCTTTTGACAAAAAAAACTCGTTTAGTCCTCGTTACGGTGGGTCGAGTGCTTGAAATCTGCGAGTTTTCTGGTATTCGGTTTTATGGATAATCAGAACACGGGTACTTACTATATAACAAAGAAGAAAACGGATTCAATAAGATAAAAAATCTAGATCATGGATTCAAATTCGGGTTTTGTTTGAATGGTAACGGGTATCCGAGGATACCCGAATATGAATTAAATGATCGGATACCCGAATATGAATTAAATGATGATTATACCCTTAATATTTTAATATATTTATAATGATTACTAAATATATTTTCAAATTAAATTACTAAAATACTATTAAAGTCAACAAAAATCAACATTTTTTAAAGATTTGAATGGGTTCGGGTATTCTCAGATAATCGAATTCGGTTCGGCGACTGATACCCAAACTGTAGATACCCGGACTTCACAAAAAAAAACGAAATAATGTTTTTTCAAAATCCTTGAAAACCAAGACGAATTCCGGACACCCAAAAAATCAGGATATCCGACCCATATCCACACTAAATCCTCGTGATATTTACTGAAAGATAAGCCAAATGCAAGAGACTAATATCGTTACCAAAGGACAGATTTCGTAACGCGAGCAACGAAAATAATTCATTGCCGACAGGCGACAACATCGTTGCGAATTAAAGGCAACAAAATGGCAAATTATGTAATTCTTTTGTCATGTGAAATAATATTTGGACATCGAAGTTTCGTTGTCAATTGTGTGTTGCTCGAAGTGGTGTACGTAATGCAATAATTCCCTCGCAATTTCGCTCTGTCCAATACTTAAGAATAAACAAGATCAATACTTAAGCACAACCCTTTTCCGCACGAAGAAGTTTTAAAACGTCGGCCGGGCGACATGGCCCGGGTGACGAGTCTAAGCTATTAGCTGTAATGATAATTTCAAGAATCTAAAGTCGCTTTCTCGGATTTTCATATGTCACATGGTCCTAATTTTACCTCCAACGAGCAAGCCTTGTTTTCTAGTCTTTGAATTCGCGGAGCATTAGTTCATTAGAGAGTTTCATCACATACATGACAGAGTGGAAATGCAACATACCGACCCTACAAGACTAACTGCTAGAATCTGGTTACCTAAAATCTTGATTCAGCATATTGGATATATAAGGGTTGCCAATATATATATATATATATATATGCATCCATATGTATGTATGTAACATGCATGCATGCATGTATATATATATGTATATATGTATGTATGCATGTATGTATATCACTTTGCTTCTCTCTGTCTTTGTTGAACTAGATTATATATGTATTTTACTTATGTTGTCCGGATTTCCGTTTAGAATGAGGTCTATACGACATGCCCGATTTAATAGAAAACCTACATATACATTAAACCGCTTCAATATGTTAAAAAACCCACATATTTTTCTATCACTTTTCCCTTTCAAACGCAATCTCAATGCCAAAGTTTTTTTTTTCCAATTCTTTAGATATTTCATCGCTACAAAATTTTAGAAAGTTTACGAGTCAAAAACCACCAATGGTTTTCGAGAACCTTGCGCTCTCCTATCACGTTAGAATTTGTGACGGATAACATAATTGAAATTTATTGTTTATTCTACACTAAAATTATAAAATTTGGACTATACAAATATAAACCAAATAAAACTTAGCCACCAGCATGCACACACACACACACACACATATATATATATATATATATATATATATATATATATATATATCCTAATCTTGTTTCTGCCATAAATTATTGGAATATATATATATATATAGAATTATTTATTTATTTAGCTATATAATACCAACATATTGACGTCCAAAATCTATAGATATATTACTTTTACAACACTAAAATTAATATATGCAAGTAAACAAATTAAACTTTCTTGCAACTGTAAGTTGCTTGTAATAAATGACCTTCATTGCTTTGTTCCCTCATTCATTACATATAAATAGTTTTTTTTAAATTATTTTTTCCGTACTATGTAATCCAAAACGTCATCGTTTTTACCATATTTAAAGCTATGAACAAAAACAAAATGATTATGTGGGTGCCCATTTGAAATTGGCCATCGTAGTTTTTTTATATGATTAGGTTAGATCTCGCACGATACTTTGAGTATTTTCTCAAGTTTTTTCCAAGTTCTCTTGAAGTTCTAAAAATTTCGTTTTTATACGCACTCTTTACTGTTTAATCTTACATGACATTTTATTAACGTTTTTAAAATTTTCTACATATTTTTTTAATATTTTTTTCAAATTTACGCTTTATTCCATCATTAATAAGAGATAAAAAGTTAATAGTATTGAAAAAATAAACTAATTAAAAAAGGATATTTTGGGAAAAATATTCTTTTTCTTGTATTAAAAAGTATTAGTTAAATGAATTAAATGACATACACTAAGAGTTATTATAACTAATTAAATATCATTTAGTTTATGTAAAACCAAAAAAAAATGTAAAAACAGACCAGAAAAAACTTATGGAAATGTTTATAGTAACTCTTAGTATATGTCATTTAATTCATTTCTATGTTTATCTGTTGAAAATTGATATCAATTCTAATGCAAACAACTCACCAGTTTCCTGAAAGGAACAATAAAAATAAAGCTAAATATAAGTCAAAGCCAAGATTTGAAGAAATGTCTTATTTTATAAAAGTGAACAAATATTAAAGGATGCTATCATAATTTTGTTTTCTTTATATTTTATTAATTTAATTTCTATTTCATTATTAATACAAACGTAGAGAAACTTATTTATCATTACAGTTGTTCCTATTTATATGTGGCATAGTGTTTTATTTGTAACAAATTTTGGTCCTCGTGGTACTTGCGTGTGAACCACATTAATTTTATATGTATATGCATAAAAGGACAACCTTAAAAGACATCACTCTAAACATGATATTTTATTTAATTAATATAAATGTTTAGTACACAAAATAAAATAAAATCTAAATATCATGTAATATATTGTAAAAACAATTGAATCTTTTGAATATTTATGATTTATCCGTCTAAATTCAAGAAGGTAAGATGTAATTGTTTGATATTGAAAGTTGAGAGGAAAAAAAAGTATTTATACTTAAAGCTAAAATCTAAATCATCGATGAGATGTCGCTCATGTGGATCCGGATTTTTCTAATATAACTTTGTGGGTTATCAGTTGAATTACTCCATAATAGACATTTGGTTGGAGTAGAGATGGTGCTTTTCTACTAATAATAATTGATTATTATCATTATAAACAAAATATTTATGGGGTAGTTCATCCTTAATGCGTAAAATTTCATTGTTCATAATCAATTTTACTATATATTATAGTTTTCTTGTAGGATTAGGATTTTCTATTATATATATATAGAATAATTTATCAATCCATCGAGACTAATTTATGCATGTATTTACCCAAGAATTAGTGGTTCAGTGGTTGAGATGTGACAAAATCATCTTCAAGGTTTTGAGTTCGATTCCACTGGTGGAGAGAGATGTAATTTATAGACCAAAATGATTCATATACAAAGGGTGGTCCCCAGGCCTAGGGTGTATAAGTCCGATCGGATCAAAGGTACGGAGAACCATTCTAGTTATAAAAAAAAATTATGCATGCATTTTTTTTCCGTGTTATGTTAAAAAATCTCAATAAATTAGTTAACGTGTAGCTGATTACATCTGAAAATGAATAATGGTAATGTCAGAGAATCGTGCGGTGAGTATTATTGACAAAGACAACTGAATGCGGAGTGATGTATTTGCTCTATGAACATATGCTTTTGAAGAAGAGGAGGATTGTATCGTCACTGTATTTGTGCTGCAATCATGTTATATTTATTCAAATAAATGGACCGTCCACATTTTAGCAAAATTCATTAAAGGGTATGTTTTTTTTTCTTTATTGTTTTAGCATAGGAAAAAAAAAAGTCTAGTCCCATAGTCATGGAGATGGTGCAAAGCTAGCAGTTACGAGAAGACTGACATTCATGAGCTTCTCATCCCTAGATAGACGGTGAAAATATAGGATTTAGATTAACTTATTTTAATTTTTATAAAGGACAAATTATAAAAAATCATTTAATCACGTTTAACCATATTTAATTTGTAAAAGTTTAAGAGGGTATGGATTTTAATCTCATCGCATATTTAGAATTTCATATGGTTATTGATAAATTCATTCATTGCATTGCAAAGGCATTATAAAAAATATCTTTCATGTATAATTTTGATTTCAACTCATACTTTTCTCTAAATGTAATCATGTGATCATAATTATAATCTGATCATATGGTGATCACATTAATTATAACGTTAAATTTATAGTGATTACTCTAATTTACTATATTCACCTCTTACATATTACAATAATCATTTGATAAAACTATTATAAATTTAAAGTTATGACCAATACGATCACTGTGTAATCAAATTATAATTCTAATCATATAGTTATAACTAGAGAAAGATAGAGTTATAACTAGAGTATTTTTAATATAATGTCCATTGGGAAAGAGAATAGAAACAAATCATTTATTTTGTTTGAAATTGTTACAAAGAAAACAATAACACTAATAGATAGTGAGAAAAAAAAAGATAATATCGTGAAATATTTGTTCGACGTCGTTCCAAAAATACTATACCCATTAGAATTTTGTGGTCCTAACATCGTTAAATCTTTCTTATTTCTTTTTTATTTTAATAAAATGAAATATTCAATTTAAATGTTCAATTCACAAAATGAATAAGAGACTATCATTGTGTTTAATTTTATATAATAACATTTAGAGTTCAACTTATTTTATTTTATTTATTTGTCATTTCAAATCAATCCTCTTTCATCATAGATGCAATCGAGCCACTTGTTCACGAGCTACCTATTCACTCGCAATCAAGATCCGAACATTGCTTATTAGATGTAGCTTTCGACGGCCACAATGCCAAATGGATCGGCCTTCGCTTATAAATATATTCCCACATTTAATGGGATTCTAACCACACCCTAATAATTTTAGGTCGGTCCACATATTCAAATCAACCATCATAGTATACTCGTAAGGAATTAAAAGAGAGTCTATTCCATCAATAAAGGAAAGGACCCAAACTTACGTGACCTAGTGGTGAGAGAACATGCAAAGTATGTTCTCATCCTGGATTCAAATCCAAGCGTGAGGAGGGGCATTCACCTGCGTTTTTCCGGTCCTCTGGGAGATGTAGTCGGGCCAAAGATCCGATGAACTTGCGGATTATGAAAAAAAAAAGAGGGGGAAAAACGAAGACCGTATTTACGTGAAGTGGTTATAAACATTTAAATTACAAAATTTAAGAGATGGTACGGTCGGTAGGTTCTTAGAGCCACGCAAAATGTAAGTCCAAATTGCATAGAACTAGATAAAGAAATAGTAATAATTTATAAGTTGTCAACGTAGATCACATGTCGCACTAATTAGATCCGACAACGACCTTCTTCTGCGTTGTCGGCTTTTGCTCAGGTTATGGTCAACCCTACATTTTCTGTTTTCTCCTTCTCATTTTTTTTTCTATTCTTTTTTTATAATTTAGAAATTCACCTCAATTACATATTTCAAAAAATCGAAAAATCCATGTGAATACTCCTTTCAACTGAAGATTCGAATATGGGTTGAAAAATAGTTTTGTCCACCCCAAACTAATTGAGCAACCAATTTTCCTATTTTTCTTAAATATAATGTGTTATTTTAATATTATATATATATATATATATATATATATATATATATATATATAATATTTTAGAGAAGAAAAAAATGCAAGACGGTATGGACCTTTTGTTGGTCCAAATTGCCCCTCATCACACCAATGAAGACCGGTAAAAAAAACGTGTATTTTTTTTTTGGTTACTAAGAAGTATGTTTTCTTCGTTCTAAGTTGGTACAATGATAAGATTGTCCGAATTCTAATTGACAGTTAAAGTAATTTCTATCGGTTTTCATATTATATTCAAATTCTTAAAATTTATTTTAAGTTTAAGATTAAACACTAAATCAAATGATTAAAAAAAAGATAATATCGTGTGTAATAAATCATGGTTCATGTTGATTGAGTTATTCAGATTTTAAAATTTCTTGTTAATAAAAAAAATTAACAATTCTAATAATGGGCTCTATAAAAATATGTAATGTTGTATTCATAAAATTTATTACAAGTTATGGTTGAGGAAAGGTTTCTTGGTCCAATACCTAATTATGGGATTAGAACCCTATCTTGCGTAAATTATTACATTTTTGTAGTTTTGCTTCATACCTTGGGATTTTTTTTATTATATCGGATTGTTTTACGCAATTAATATCTGCAATACCTACATTTTATGTTATCTCCTCCTTATTTTTTCTATTTTTTTATAATTTAAAATTTTTTCGAAACTTTGACTCAATTACATATTCCAGAAAATCGGAAAGTGAAGGTGAATACCCCTATATAGAGATTCTAGTGTGGATTGAAAAATAGTTTTGTCCATTCCAAATTAGTTGAGCCATCGATTTTCCTATTTTTTTAAATATAATGTGTTATTTAATGTTATATATATATATATATATATATATATATATATTATTTTAGAGAAGAAAAAATGCAAGACGGTATGGACCTTTTGTTGGTCCAAATTGCCCCTCAGCACACCAATGAAGACCGTTAAAAAAACGTGTATTTTTTTTGGTACTAAGTATGTTTTCTTCGTATTAAAGTAATTTCTATCGGTTTTCATATTATATTCAAATTCTTAAAATTTATTTTAAGTTTAAGATTAAACACTAAATCAAATGATTAAAAAAAAGATAATATCGTGTGTAATAAATCATGGTTCATGTTGATTGAGTTATTCAGATTTTAAAATTTCTTGTTAATAAAAAAAATTAACAATTCTAATAATGGGCTCTATAAAAATATGTAATGTTGTATTCATAAAATTTATTACAAGTTATGGTTGAGGAAAGGTTTCTTGGTCCAATACCTAATTATGGGATTAGAACCCTATCTTGCGTAAATTATTACATTTTTGTAGTTTTGCTTCATACCTTGGGATTTTTTTTATTATATCGGATTGTTTTACGCAATTAATATCTGCAATACCTACATTTTATGTTATCTCCTCCTTATTTTTTCTATTTTTTTATAATTTAAAATTTTTTCGAAACTTTGACTCAATTACATATTCCAGAAAATCGGAAAGTGAAGGTGAATACCCCTATATAGAGATTCTAGTGTGGATTGAAAAATAGTTTTGTCCATTCCAAATTAGTTGAGCCATCGATTTTCCTATTTTTTTAAATATAATGTGTTATTTAATGTTATATATATATATATATATATATATATATATATTATTTTAGAGAAGAAAAAATGCCCCTCATCACACCAATGAAGACCGGTAAAAAAAACGTGTATTTTTTTTTTGGTTACTAAGAAGTATGTTTTCTTCGTTCTAAGTTGGTACAATGATAAGATTGTCCGAATTCTAATTGACAGTTAAAGTAATTTCTATCGGTTTTCATATTATATTCAAATTCTTAAAATTTATTTTAAGTTTAAGATTAAACACTAAATCAAATGATTAAAAAAAAGATAATATCGTGTGTAATAAATCATGGTTCATGTTGATTGAGTTATTCAGATTTTAAAATTTCTTGTTAATAAAAAAAATTAACAATTCTAATAATGGGCTCTATAAAAATATGTAATGTTGTATTCATAAAATTTATTACAAGTTATGGTTGAGGAAAGGTTTCTTGGTCCAATACCTAATTATGGGATTAGAACCCTATCTTGCGTAAATTATTACATTTTTGTAGTTTTGCTTCATACCTTGGGATTTTTTTTATTATATCGGATTGTTTTACGCAATTAATATCTGCAATACCTACATTTTATGTTATCTCCTCCTTATTTTTTCTATTTTTTTATAATTTAAAATTTTTTCGAAACTTTGACTCAATTACATATTCCAGAAAATCGGAAAGTGAAGGTGAATACCCCTATATAGAGATTCTAGTGTGGATTGAAAAATAGTTTTGTCCATTCCAAATTAGTTGAGCCATCGATTTTCCTATTTTTTTAAATATAATGTGTTATTTAATGTTATATATATATATATATATATATATATATATATTATTTTAGAGAAGAAAAAATGCAAGACGGTATGGACCTTTTGTTGGTCCAAATTGCCCCTCAGCACACCAATGAAGACCGTTAAAAAAACGTGTATTTTTTTTGGTACTAAGTATGTTTTCTTCGTATTAAAGTAATTTCTATCGGTTTTCATATTATATTCAAATTTTCAAATTTTATTTTAAGTTTAAGATTAAACACTAAATCAAATAATAAAAAAAAGATAATATTGTGTGTAATAAATCATGGTTCCAAGCACATTTCATAAAAAAAAAAATCATGGTTTCATGTTGATTGAGTTACTCATATTTTAAAATTTCTTGTTAATAACAAAAGTTAAACAATTCTAATAATGGGCTCTATGAAAATATGTAAGGTCGCATTCACGAAATTTATTACAAGGTATGGTTGAGGAAAGGTTTCTTGGTCCAATACCTAATTATGGGATTAGAACCCTATCTTGCGTAAATTATTATTATTATTTTTTAGTTTTGCTTCATACTTCGGGATTTTTTTTTATGTCGGATTGTTTTACGCAATTAATATCTGCAATGTTTGAAATTTATTTATTTATTTTAATTGAGAGAGAGAGAGAGATCAAGGGGGCTAGAGTAAGAGTTACAAAGCATGTCTGGAAAATCAGGTTAGGTAATAGGTGTTAGTTGCGGAATAATTAATTATACATCTAACCTAATTACTTTGATTAATCTTAATTCGCCTAATCTTTCATATGTTTGTAATTATGTACGTCATATATATAAATAGAAGCTTATGTTCATTTTGTATATATATTTATAAATTCATACGTTTTTTTTTTGTTAAAAAAATCGAATAAATTAGATAAAACAACTATTCATTCTCTTATTAAAAATTCCGACACGGTTGGACCTCATTTAAATGTATAATAAGTTTATTGGGGACGTTTGACCCTACTATTTACTATATCGCATCGGCCCCCTGCTGATCCATGCAAATTAGTTTTACGTGTTATTTCTTTTTTATCTCTATATATATATATATTTTGCACACTTTCCAACAAATTTAAAGTTATCGTTTACAGTCGGACTCGTTTGCTGTGTATAGATTTATTTTTACTTTTCTAGGTACGTAATTATCTATGTTTACATGTGTATATATCTATATCTATGTGCATGCATGTGGTGAACAGACAAGAACCGAAAGTCCAGACGGAGTGTAATAGCAATTCTCTCTCTCTCTCTCACCATGAAGTACGTGAAGCTATTTTACCATAACCTCATTACACACTTCTTCAAGCTCTGCTTGGTCCCTTCAATGGCGGTTTTAGCCATGAAGGCGTCTAGGCTTAGCCCTGAAGATCTCCACAACTTCAGCCTGCATTTTCATAACCACCCCGTTATCGTGACCGTCATCTTCCCCGCTATCGTTTTCGGGTCGACCCTTTACTTCATGACCCGACCCGCACCCGTTTACCTCGTCGACTTCTCGTGTTATCTCCCTCCGTCCCATCTCAAAGTCAGTATCGAGAAGATCATGGATCACATTAAACAAACGCGAGACGCTCATGAATCTTGGAACGACAACCTCAAGGACGAATCTTGGGTTGATTTCCTGCGCAAGATTCTCGAACGTTCCGGCATCGGCAACGAGACCTACGTCCCAGAGGCTTTGCATTGCATTCCGCCCCGACAATCTATGGCGGCGGCTCGAG